TGATCAATTGGCAGTTGAACTGTATAGATATAGATCTATGCTAACAATTTCTTTTCTCGCATTTCATTTTTGTGGAACTCCCTTCAGGTTCCATACTTTCCAGTCAGTTCTAATCTGCAAAAGCTTAAATGCAATGTCAATCGCTATCTACTGTCTTCCAGATTGCTTTTTTTTTTCTGTTTCCACTCATTGTCAAGTTTTTAATTCCTCCACATCCTGTACCTTCTTGTGTTTTAGTGGCTTTACTGTCATGTATGGGGTGATACTGATTAAAAAAAAAACAACCAAAAAACCAACTGCGTTTGGCTGATTGGGCATCCACCCTAAAACTAAAGGGGTCTGTGGTACACCTTAGAAAACAGCAATGATAAAATTTGAAGTAATAATTTTTACTTTCTCAAATCACTCTATGGAACTTCTAAACCTCACTTTAACTCTGATTCGGGCTATGAGTCCAATTCCGGCCAAAAGTTCGATTTGGTCCGAAAGTCTGTTTCGAGCAAAATTTCCAATTGAGCCCCAAAATTGAGTTCTTCATATCAGAAATTCCATGGAACCAAATCTGCAGAACTTCAAAACCTTACGTTACGAAACCAATCATTATAAATTTGATATCTTCGCATTTTGAAGAAATAAAATCGATTTCCTCAATTTACAAAGATTTGGAAATATTTTAAAATGCATTTGAAACAATATTTTTAAATTCACAATGTGTTTTTTTTGTCACTTTAAACTCAATATAAACTAAATCACTTTTAAAACCACTATTTTTTTAAAAGTTATTTTAAATTTTAAAGTTTTAACAGTCCCCTCCTCATCCGTATATAAATCCCAATATTGGATGTTCAAACACGAGATGAAGAGCATATTTTTAATCCCGGTATCATCCTGATTCCAAAAAGCTATAATATGTCTATATAAATCAAGTGTGGTCAGTGTTAAGGAGTTTTCAGTCACATCAATAGATATACATTATTTGATGTTTATTTATTTAGATTAAGAGAGATGTGTAGCTGTAAAAAGACATAACATCTACGCATGTAAGCAAACAATTCAGTGTTATTGACTCAACAAATTAACTTGTAATAAAGATCATAAAAGAGAAGCATTTCTGCTCTCAATCAGCATGGCTGATGCTAACCTCCAACAAGAAAGTTGCGTCTTTTTGGTCTTGCGTTTTCTATTGACATAAAGTGGCGTGATTGTATTGACTCATTTGCTAAGTCTGCGGATAAGAATGTCGGTTCATTGTCGTACTAGACAATATTTCGCAAGCGACTCCATATTGCACATTAATATAACATTCTCTGCATCGAATATCCTGGCTATATCTAGTATAGTATCCACAAGCTAATGTTTCGTGATTCTTGACAAAATCAAAAAAAAAAAAAAAAAAATAGGGGTATGTGCCGTTTTCGGTCTCGACCTGTCATCACGGGTTCCGTCACATTCTCAATTATTTTCCCTGTTTTCTAAAAATTTTCCTGGCAATTGCTCTAAAGAGCTGTCCTCCCTGGTGACCCGGCTACGTGAATTTCACCTTAATACTAAATTGGCTGTTAGGTCTCATCGTTTTACATTTTAAATAACTAAATACAACTGTAAGTTCTTCTGTCTACCTGAATCTTGCTCTTTTTCTGAGCTTTCTCGTCACTGAAGAGATCTCATTGTCTTTCACTCTTTCTCGTTCTCTTCCATCAATCCCTTGCGTCTTAGTGGCATTATAGCCTTGCTTGATATGAGATGGTGGTTTTCAAAGCTTAGCTTAGATATGGCACAGAGCCAAAAGCACGGAAAATCCAGTGAGGATCGAACTCACTACACAGTCGTAAGCGTTCTAGCGAGACAAGCGTGCTAATCATTACACCACGTCGAGGATCCCCTTGCCAGAGGTGAGATGATTGAAAACAAAATTTCCGAATCCAAAAAAACAAAAAACAAAAAAAAAAAAACAAACAAAACGGTATCATACTTACAACAGATTGTATATATTGGATAAGTACGCTAAAGATATTTTTAATTCACTTCAATATTTATACGGCTCTTGATATTGGTAAATTATATCTCTTATCTACGCTTGATTTAACGTAGATTTAATTTGTGTTTCATTTGATAAATCGACTGGAGATAGACAAGTAATTATCTAATGATGTGAACGATGTTTCTGGAGAAACACTCTTTTGATACGCTGAGCTTGGCACATGGCCGTACAAGCTCAAGGGATCATTGTAGGCGGGTTCAAATGATCTCTTGTCGGTAATACAGTTTTCTTTTCATATTTTTAGTAACCATATTCATACGAATATTCTTAGATTATTGCAGATGATACCTCACTTCACAAAATCGAAATGATTGGATCCATGATAAGTCCTATGACGTAGCTCCAACAGTTCAATGATAGAAAAAAAAACTGGCTTATAAAAAATATATCCATCCTAGCTAGTAGCTATTTTCCTTTTCCAAATCAAAAGTAAGACACATATGTATTATCCATTACAGGAGATGCTGAAAAATGGTGGGCTACTCTCTTTCCTACAACTAACTGAGTCCTTCTGACATGCTTTACTTAAAAAAAAATGCTGCTATATTATTGGACATACGTGGCCGAGTGGTTAGAACATTCGCATTCTGACCATGAGACCCGGGTTCGAATCTCACCATGGCCGATTTGTCAAGAAACTTCTTGATGTTATTGGACTTTGGAAAGTGCCTGAAAACCATACCGCAGACTTGAGAGTGAAATTGGGTAGACGGAATCTTTGGGTACCGTCGATAGCTGTGCTTGCACGAAGTCACAAATCATCGTGGCCGAGGGCTTGAACGTACTGGCCTTGTTCAAATTGTTGATCACGCTAGATAACACACTCTCTCCCATGTAACTACAGTCTGCTCAGCATAGTTGCAGTATAAACCACAGTGAGTGTTGAATAAATACAAATGAGCCTGAGCAAGCCTCTGCAATAGGGACTGGCTAGCCGCCCTAGTAAACGGGTATCCTCGAATACGAATGGCCAGCTATAGATACATTAGTACTGATCTGGCATCTCGTCTTCAGTTTCCTGCCGCAACGTAACTTCCCTGTGTGTTTTCTAGAAATACTTTCATGGTAATTGTTTGATAAACTTTCTTCTATTTGATTTAGTTTCTTGTATATGAAATTGTATACACTGTAAATATTAATAGGAGACTCTTTTTTTAAATGTTGTTATTTTAATACCCCATTCAAATTGTATATACGGGTACTAATTAGAGCTTCATAGAGACATTGAAGTATTACTCTCTCTGTAGTAAGAATAGTGTTGTGGATTCCGAGATGAAATCCGGTCTCCAATGAATGACAAACGCAGGAATGAAATATAACAAATAAATGTATTTACACAATAATACAATTGGTAACACGGTTAGTAGATCCAGAAACGTGGTTAGTAGCAATAATATATATATATATATATATATATATATATATATATATATATATATATAGATAGATAATATTAGTGGAAAATATACATACATATGAAAAATATATCTAAAAAATTCCCATACATGTATATTTTCAGAAAAAAATTTTTCCAGAGGAAGGATCCAGGTAGAACTCAATGTCTAGGACTGAGTAAGGATATAATAAAAAGGCTTAAACACTAATATTCCATGGTCATAATTTATTCCATTGGAATCGTAAATACGATCCAAATCATCAGACCTACAAATTCAAAATGAAAACAGAAAAAACAACTCCGGAAATCAAACACGAATTTAGAGAAAGAGTAAGTATGAGGAGGGGAGACATGAAACCTTAACAGAGAGAATTTTAGGATATGCTGGTAAATCCAGTCTCGAAGTAGGACTATGTATATATATATATATATATATATATATATATATATATATATATATATATATATATAGTCTGGTAAATCCAGTCTCGAAGTAGGACTTCCTTAGTGTCTACGTGCTTGTAACTGTGACCTCTACAAGCGGTTACCTCAAACTCTTACTCTACCTCCAACTCAATCACAATCTCTATCTCTCCCCTCTACTCTGACTGACTCTGGGTATTTAACGGCAGCAGTCCAAGTACATACTGGTCGAGTCCACTTGTATGAAAAAGGGGTGGACCCCACATAACAAATAGTAAATAAGAATATGTTATTTTGCTGCAAGGAATATTATAGTTTGTTTTTGTTGAAACTTGACTAATGCATGGAATAATAATGCAACACAAAATGTACTTAGAACAAAATGTATTGAAACAAGAAAGTGTACACAAATATTTACATATAGTCTTTTGTATATTCCTGGTAAGACCGTTCCTGGAAAATGTGTTGACTGAGTCGCTGTCGGGCAGAGCCTCTGGTTGAATCTCTTGATTCCTCCCTCTCTTCCCGGTACCAACCATATTTATATGGTCGGTACTCCACTGTGCAAATTAGGTGGATCCTACCACAACAATATTGTTTCTATATGCTTTTTTATAATATATAGCTTTCTATTATATAGCGTTTTCATATAGTTTATCATTGTATATAGCTTTCTATTATATAGTGTTTCTATATGTTTTATCATTATATATAGCGTTCTATTATATAGTTTCTTTATATTTTTGTTGTTATACATGTGTTTCTGTTATATTTTATTTCTATATGTTTTTTTTTATCGTATTATTATTATTCATGGATCAAATATCAATTTTGTACCTCCATCATTGTGTTTTTAATCATTTTTTTTCCCATCAATTTTTTTTTTCCCCTTGTCTTTTTTTTTCTCTCCATTTTGCATTTAGTAGTTTTTCATTCATTTCATAATGAAAATAATTATTCCTTTCTTTTCTTTCATTTTTACACGTGTGTTTTTCTTTTTTTCTTTTTTTTCTTTTTTCATTCCATTCATTGTTTTTTTTTACATTTTCTTTTCAGTTTCATTCATGAAAATAAATCGCACAACGTATTTTTATCTGTAATACTGATCTTTTATAGAATTACTTGCTAACTTCACAGAAGCTACGGAAAAAATAAAATAGAAAGAAAGAATGGATCAAATTTAGAAAAAAAACAGGAAAATGGTAGGAAAAATAAGAAACGAATAGAAAAAGAGAAAAGGAAGTAGAGAGATGAAGTAGATAGATATATAGATAGATAGATAGATAGATAGATAGATAGATAGATAGATAGATAGATATCAATCTGTTCATATATATCTATCCATCTGTTCGTATCTAGATAGATATATATGAACAGATGGATATCTATTTATCTATCTATCTATCTATCTATCTATATATATATATATATAGGTAGATAGATAGATGAATAGATAGATAGATAGATATGAAGAGAGATAGATATGAACCCAACAGATGTATATCTATCTATCTATCTATCTATTATATATATATATATATATATATATATATATATATATATATATATATATGCATATAAGAACAGAAATAGATATAGATAGATAGATAGATAGATAGATAGATAGATAGATACGAACAGATGGATAGATAGATATATATGAACAGATGGATATCTATCTATCTATCTATCTATCTATATATATATATATATATATATATATATATATATATATATATATATATGAAGAGAGATAGATATGGATATATATATATATATATATATGAACAGATGGATATATATATATATGCATATATGAACAGAAATAGCTAGATAGATAGATAGATAGATAGATAGATACGAACAGATGAATAGATAGATATATATGAACAGATGTATATCTATCTATCTATCTATCTATCTATCTATTAAATTATTAGCAGAGAGATGGTGCTTATCCTTCGACTCAAAATCCATTTTTTCATTTGACGATTCTTGTTTATTGCCATCTTCGTTCCACAAAGGTACCTTGCTTAGAATGTCTGTTTGAACCACAAACATACTCCGGGTATTTGTACTATCATTTTAGGGACTCTCCAAAAAGTACCTGACAGATAAATATGATGATGTACCTTCATGTTTTTTTTTTTTTAGTTTCTTGTATATTTTAATGCAATCATTGTAAATATTCATAGGAGTCTCTTTTTTAAAAGTTGTTATTTTAATTCCCTATTAAAAGTGTACATATGGGAACTAACTGAAGCTTCATTATTAACTGAGAGGAGGCGCGTAACTTCCGACTCAAAAATGATTTTGTCATTTGATGATTGACTCTCTTGGTGTTTATTGCCATCTTCGTTCTAAAGAGGTACCTTGCTTAGAAAGTCTGTTTGGAAAAACTGGTCACACTGAACCACAAGCAAAATTCGGATATTCGTAATATCACTCTAGTGCCTCTCCAGAAAGTATCTGACAGATGTGTAAGATGATAAAACTTCCCCTATTGTGTTTCGTCTATATGGAATTATAAACATTATAAATATTCATATGGCTCTCTTCTTAAAAGTTGACATTTTTATTTCCTATTCAAATTGTACATATAGTGACTTGTTATTTCTTCATAGTGTCTGTTGTAAGAATAATAAATAAGAATATGTTGTTTCGGTGCAAGGAATATCGTAGTTTGTATAGGCTGATGTTTTCGGAAAGCTAAGTTTAACATAAGACAGATGGAAAACCATCCACCCCACTTCAGCCTATATTGGCTTTGTGTCAAAATTGCCCCAAGACCCCGTATAAACGGGTTCTGGCTTGTCTACCTCCCCAGACGAGACTCTGCCCTTCGGTATAGCCTTGTCTGAGTTCCTCTCTGCCTGAATTCGACAAGCACTGAGGTTAGCACGCGGCTAAGACCAAATGCTACCTCGGTATTTACCCACAAAGCAGTATATGGCTTATGAGTTCCCAGCCCGTAGGCACGGGCAAAAATTCACCTTAGGCCCCGTGATAAGGGGGTCCGGTTTGTCTGCTTCCCCAGACGAGATTCAGCATAATCTTGTCTAGGTTCCTCTCTGCCCGAAGGCAGATAGTTCGACAAGCACTAAGAGCTTAGCGCGCGGGTATGACCTAATGCTAACTCTGTTCAATTCCGCTTATTTACATAAACGGACGATTCCATTCATTTATGTCTTATATGACAAAGACAGAAGATAACAATTGATACTGCATTTATGTAATAATGAGGTTGGGTTTATCTATATCATCGGCATAGCATAATCTGGGTTTCTCTCTTCCCGAAGACAGAGAGTTTAAGAAGCAACTGTCCAAATTCTAACTCTGCATGACTCCGCTTAGTTACATAAACGGACGATTCTATTCATTTATGTTTTATATGACAGACAGATATATATATATATATATATATATATATATATATATATATAGATAGATAGATAGATAGATAGATAGATAGATAGATGAGGACAGTTATGTTTGATAACAGAGAGTAATAAATAAGGAAGACAAACTTGTAGGTAAGTAATGAATCTTCCACCGCGAGGAAAGTTGGTTCTCTGTGCCGCGCCAGGAAAAATTTTCTCCCCATAATCGATACTTCAAATATATAAATCAACCATTCGCCCTTGCATGGAGTATTGCTGCCATATATGGTCTGGCGCACATTCTGTTTGCCTCGGAGTTCTTGACAAGATCCAGAGACGGATATGTAATATAATTGGCCCTGATCTGGCGTCTCGTCTACAGTCACTCTCTCACAGACGCGCCGTCGCCTCTCTCTGTCTTTTCTACAAATACTTTCATGGTAATTGCTCCGATGAGCTGCTTTCACTGGTTCCCAGACTCCATGAATTCAAGCGCACTACGAGGCTGGCATCCCGCTCTCATCCTTACACTGTAGAAACATTTAAATGTAGCCGTCTCTTCTACTCCAATAGCTCCATATCTCGCACCTCTCGCCTGTGGAACACCCTTCCCAATTACTGTTTCCCTGAGAGCTATAATCTCCAACTATTCAAATGTAATATCAATCGATACCTCCAGTTACCTTGATCTACCCACTATCCCTCTCCTCATACTTTCTTCTGTCTCTCCTATCTGCTCTCGCTCCAAATCTTCTGCAACCCCCCCTGCATCCTAGTGGCTTCACGCCTTGCTCGGGGCGTAATGCTTTAAAAAAAAGAAGGTTTTAGCAATTGACCTAATGCTAGCTCTGCGCAACTCCGCTTATTTACATAAACGGACGATTCTATTCATTATAAGTACTATATGACAGACAGACAGATAGATAGATAGATAGATAGATAGATATTGAATAGACTGAGATAGATAGATAGATAGATAGATAGATATAAAGGAAAATTAATAAAAAAAGGAAGATAGAGAGAAAAGAGAAATAGAATAGAAAGAAAGAAAGAATAAACTCGATAGAGATAAATAGGTTATATATATATATCTAGAAAGATAAAAGAAAGATAGATAGATAGATAGATAGATAGATAGATAGATAGATAGATAGATAGATAGATAGATAGATAGAAAGAGAAAGATTGATATAAAGAAAGAAAGAGAAAGAGAGAAATAGACGAGATAGATAGATAGATAGATAGATAGATAGATAGATAGATAGATAGATAGAAAGAGATAAATAGACTAGGTAGGCAGGTAGATAGATAGAAAAAAAGAAAGAGAGAAATAGACTAGATAGAAAGAGTGAAATGTACTAGATAGATATATAGATAGAAAGAAAGTGTGCAATAGACTTGATAGATAGATAGATAGATAGATAGATAGATAGACAGATAGAGAAAGACTGATATAAAGAAAGAAAGAGAAAGAGAGAAATAGACGAGATAGATAGATAGATAGATAGATAGATAGATAGATAGATAGAAAGAGATAAATATACTAGGTAGGCAGGTAGATAGATAGAAAAATGAAAGAGAGAAATAGACTAGATAGAAAGTGTGAAATGTACTAGATAGATATATAGACAGAAAGAAAGAAAGTGTGCAATAGACTTGATAGATAGATAGATAGATAGATAGAGAAAGACTGATATAAAGAAAGAAAGAGAAAGAGAGAAATAGACGAGATAGATAGATAGATAGATAGATAGAAAGAGATAAATAGACTAGGTAGGCAGGTAGATAGATAGAAAAATGAAAGAGAGAAATAGACTAGATAGAAAGTGTGAAATGTACTAGATAGATATATAGACAGAAAGAAAGAAAGTGTGCAATAGACTTGATAGATAGATAGATAGATAGATAGATAGATAGATAGATAGAGAAAGACTGATATAAAGAAAGAAAGAGAAAGAGAGAAATAGACGAGATAGATAGATAGATAGATAGATAGATAGATAGATAGATAGATAGATAGATAGATAGATAGATAGATAGATGAGGACAGTTATGTTTGATAACAGAGAGTAATAAATAAGGAAGACAAACTTGTAGGTAAGTAATGAAATAGAAGGTTTACTACATAAAGTTCCACTTAGCAATTGACCTAATGTTAACTTGGTATTTACACAAGCTCACCACAGTACGTGATGTGGCATAAGGTTGGTTTAACATGTGTTTTTCGAGCCTTTAGGCCTAGGTAAAATTCCTCATAGACGCCGTCATAACGAGGTTGGTCTTGTCTATCTCTTCGGCATAGCCTCGTCTGGGTTTCTCTCTGCCCGAAGACAGAGAGTTTAAGAAGCACTAAGAACTTAGCACGTGGCTAAGACCTAATGATAATTCTCCTTAACTCCGCTTAACTCGGCTTTATATAAACCTAGGGTTCCATTCATTTTTCTCCTATATGACAAAGAAGGAAGATAACGATTGATATTGCATTTACATTTTGGAAGATCAAACTTGATTGGGAAGCAAGAAGCAGGAAGTGAGTTCTCCGTTGCTTCTTTATCGTCATTTCCATGGCAAATACCCAGATGACCGCTCTATTCTTTAGTTTCACCAGTTCAGACCTTTACAGATAGGACAGAGAAAGCTACTTCCATGGAAATGAACCCTCATTTTTCTGTCTGTATATCTGGGATGATGGATTATCATTATCTATATTCGGGTAATGTCCGAGTAGATTAAATCGTTGCTTCGTGAATTTGCTGGTATACAGGGTGTCTGAAAATTACCCCCCACCATTTTAAAATACTTATAATTTATTTATTAACTATAATACTAAACAAGAAACGGATATCAGTTTAGCATGAATTTTTATTTAAAATTCGATATGGACACAAGATTGAGTTATCAGCAACTCGAACCGCTCATGAATTGCGTCGACTGATTTCACATAACTTCTTGTATGCATCCTTCAATTTCTTCCAAAGAAAAATTCACAGGGTGTTAAATCAAGACTTCTGGCTGTCCATTAATAAGGAGTTACTATTCAATCACCCTGTACTGGTTGTGAATTCATTAACTGTATTTAAACTCAGTGGAAACGGGTGAACAATAACTAAGCATGACTAAAAATAAGAACTAGACAAGATATCACTAGAGACGTGAAACAATATATCCACATATTCGGATATATATATGTATATGTATTTACACACACACACACACACACACACACACACATATATATATATATATATATATATATATATTTATATATACACATATATATGTATATATGTATGTATGTATATATATATGTATGTATGCATATATATATGTATATATATGTATGTATGTATATATATATGTGTATATATATACATACATATATATATATATATATATATATATATATACATATATACACATATATACATACATACTTATACATACATACATATATATATATATATATATATGTATATATATATATATATATATACATATATATATATATATATATATATATATATATATATAAAAAAATGTTTTACTCTGAATGTATAAAATATCTTTAATTGAAAGTAGACAAATAATTAGAAAACATTTAGATTTCGGCATTAAATAATCCATAAAGGTTGATATACCGCTGAACAAAATCAACCAAACTAAACCAATCAAAATAGTTTGATTTCTGCATTAAATAACCCATAAAGGTGTTGATATGCCGCGAAAATAAAAAACAACCATAGCAAACTAATCAAAATATGTATATTTCAGCATTACATAACGTGTAGGTGTTCATATGCTGCTAAACAAAATCAACCAAATCAAACCAATCAAATTATTTAGATTCCGGCATTAAATAACCCATAGAGGTTGATATGCCGCTAAACAAAATCAACCAAACCAAACCAATCAAAATATTTAGATTCCGGCATTAAATAACCCATAGAGGTGTTGATATGCCGCTAAACAAAATCAACCAAACCAAACCAATCAAAATATTTAGATTCCGGCATTAAATAACCCATAGAGGTTGATATGCCGCTAAACAAAATCAACCAAATCAAACCAATCAAAATATTTAGATTCCGGCATTAAATAACCCATAGAGGTGTTGATATGCCGCTAAACAAAATCAACCAAACCAAACCAATCAAAATATTTAGATTCCGGCATTAAATAACCCATAGAGGTTGATATGCCGCTAAACAAAATCAACCAAATCAAACCAATCAAAATATTTAGATTCCGGCATTAAATAACCCATAGAGGTTGATATGCCGCTAAACAAAATCAACCAAATCAAACCAATCAAAATATTTAGATTCCGGCATTAAATAACCCATAGAGGTTGATATGCCGCTAAACAAAATCAACCAAATCAAACCAATCAAAATATTTAGATTCCGGCATTGCCGCTAAACAAAATAACCCATAGAGGTTGATATGACGCTAAACTAAAAAATCAACCAAACCAAACCAATCAAAATATTTAGATTCCGGCATTAAATAACCCATAGAGGTTGATATGCCGCTAAACAAAATCAACCAAATCAAACCAATCAAAATATTTAGATTCCGGCATTAAATAACCCATAGAGTTGTGCCGCTAAATATGCCAACCAAACAAAATCAACCAAATCAAACCAATCAAAATATTTAAAGATTCCGGCATTAAATAACAAAATATTAGAGGTTGATATGCCGCTAAACAAAATCAACCAAATCAAACCAATCAAAATATTTAGATTCCGGCATTAAATAACCCATAGAGGTTGATATGCCGCTAAACAAAATCAACCAAATCAAACCAATCAAAATATTCAGATTTTAAATCACCCATAGAGGTTGATATGCCGCTAAACAAAATCAACCAAAACAAACCAATCAAAATATTTAGATTCCGGCATTAAATAACCCATAGAGGTTGATATGCCGCTAAACAAAATCAACCAAAACAAACCAATCAAAATATTTAGATTCCGGCATTAAATAACCCATAGAGGTTGATATGCCGCTAAACAAAATCAACCAAAACAAACCAATCAAAAATTTAGATTCGGCATTTAACCCATAGAGGTTGATATGCCGCTAAACAAAAATCAACAAAAACCAAACCAATTAAAAATATTTAGATTTTAAACAAAATTAAATAACCCAAAATATTTAGATGATGATATGCTAAACAAAATCAACCAAATCAAACCAATCAAAAAATTCGGCATTTAAATAACCCATAGAGTTTAATATGCCGCTAAACAAAATCAACCAAATCAAACCAATCAAAATATTTAGATTCCGGCATTAAATAACCCATAGAGGTTGATATGCCGCTAAACAAAATCAACCAAATCAAACCAATCAAAATATTTCAGATTCCGGCATTAAATAACCCATAGTTTGATATGCCGCTAAACAAAATCAACCAAATCAAACCAATCAAAATATTTAGATTCCGGCATTAAATAACCCATAGAGGTTGATATGCCGCTAAACAAAATCAACCAAATCAAACCAATCAAAATATTTAGATTTTAAATAACCCATAGAGTTTAATATGCCGCTAAACAAAATCAACCAAATCAAACCAATCAAAAAATATTCGGCATTTTAATAGAGTTTAATATGCCGCTAAACAAAATCAACCAAATCAAACCAATCAAAATATTTAGATTCCGGCATTAAATAACCCATAGTTTGATATGCCGCTAAACAAAATCAACCAAATCAAACCAATCAAAATATTCAGATTCCGGCATAAACAAAAAATTACAGATTTTTGATATGCCGCTAAACAAAATCAACCAAAATCAAACCAATCAAAATATTTAGATTTTAAATATAGAGTTTGATATGCCGCTAAACAAAATCAACCAAATCAAACCAATCAAAATATTTAGATTTTTAACCCATAGAGGTTGATATGCCGCTAAACAAAATCAACCAAATCAAACCAATCAAAATATTTAGATTCCGGTATAGAGTTTGATATGCCGCTAAACAAAATCAACCAAATCAAACCAATCAAAAAATTTAGATTCCGGCATTAAATAACCCATAGAGTTTAATATGCCGCTAAACAAAATCAACCAAATCAAACCAATCAAAATATTTAGATTCCGGCATAGAGTTTAGTTATATGCCGCTAAACAAAATCAACCAAATCAAACCAATCAAAATATTTAGATTTTAAATAACCCATAGAGTTTGATATGCCGCTAAACAAAATCAACCAAATCAAACCAATCAAAATATTTAGATTCCGGCATTTAACCCATAGAGGTTGATATGCCGCTAAACAAAATCAACCAAATCAAACCAATCAAAATATTTAGATTCCGGCATTAAATAACCCATAGAGTTTGATATGCCGCTAAACAAAATCAACCAATCAAACCAATCAAAATATTTAGATTCCGGCATTAAAATAGAGTTTGATATGCCGCTAAACAAAATCAACCAATCAAACCAATCAAAATATTTAGATTCCGGCATTAAATAACCCATAGAGTTTGATATGCCGCTAAACAAAATCAACCAAATCAAACCAATCAAAAATTTTAGATTCCGGCATTAAATAACCCATAGAGGTTGATATGCCGCTAAACAAAATCAACCAAATCAAACCAATCAAAATAAGATTCCGGCATTTATAGAGTTTGATATCCGCTAAACAAAATCAACCAAATCAAACCAATCAAAATATTTAGATTCCGGCATTAAAAGGTTTTAACCAAACAAAATCAACCAAAACAAGAGGTTGATATGCCGCTAAACAAAATCAACCAAATCAAACCAATCAAAAAATATTTAGATTCCGGCATTAAATAACCCATAGAGGTTGATATGCCGCTAAACAAAATCAACCAAATCAAACCAATCAAAATATTTAGATTCCGGCATTAAATAACCCATAGAGGTTGATATGCCGCTAAACAAAATCAACCAAATCAAACCAATCAAAATATTTAGATTCCGGCATTAAATAACCCATAGAGGTTGATATGCCGCTAAACAAAATCAACCAAATCAAACCAATCAAAATATTTAGATTCCGCATTAAATAAACCCATAGAGGTTGATATGCCGCTAAACAAAATCAACCAAAACAAACCAATCAAAATATTTAGATTCCGGCATTAAATAACCCATAGAGGTTGATATGCCGCTAAACAAAATCAACCAAATCAAACCAATCAAAATATTTAGATTCCGGCATTATCAAACCAACCCATAGAGGTTGATATGCCGCTAAACAAAATCAACCAAACCAAACCAATCAAAATATTTAGATTTCGGCATTAAATAACCCACAGAGGTTGATATGCCGCTAAACAAAAAATCAACCAAACCAAACCAATCAAAATATTTAGATTTCGGCATTAAATAACCCATAGAGGTGTTGATATGCCGCTAAACAAAATCAACCACACCAAACCAATCAAAATATTTAGATTTCGGAATTAAATAACCCATAGAGGTGTTGATATGCCGCTAAACAAAATCAACCAAACCAAACCAATCAAAATATTTAGATTTCGGCATTAAATAACCCATAGAGGTGTTGATATGCCGCTAAACAAAATCAACCACACCAAACCAATCAAAATATTTAGATTTCGGCATTAAATAAACCATAGAGGTTGATATGCCGCTAAACAATATCAACCAGACGAAACCAATCAAAATATTTAGATTTCGACATTAAATAACCCCATAGATATTGATATATCACTAAGCAAACCAATCAAAATATTTAGATTTCGACATTAAATAACCCATAGAAATTGATATGCTGCTAAACAAAATCAACCAACCAACAACTTGAAAAGAAAATCTACAACGAAAATCAGATCTAACAATCGAAGTATCCTTTGTTTAGAGAAGTCTCAATACTAATTACCTTAGTTTAACCACTGAATTCTCCCAAAGAGATGTTACTCCATTGTGATCCGGTCCAGTATAACATATTGATGGCCACCTCCGGCCTCAGCGACAAAATAAGAAGTATAATGATGAATCTATTAACCATTTAGTCATAACATTCTTAAATATTAATGTCTTTTGAGGCCAATGTTGTATAATTGTTGGAAATTCTTGAAGGCTTCCTGCAGCTATGTATGGAACTATAGAACTTTTCGTCGTCTGAGGAACTTATTTCAATGAAGAGGAATATATATCTACAATTGCAAACATAGTTATACATCCAAGTATTTTAACGAAATCATATTCCAGAAAATTGTATTAAGTATATGCTTGTGCGCCTTTTTAGTTAGTTCAAAGAAATATCCAAAAAGTGGTGATGTAGATAGATTCTTTTTAAACATATAACACCATGCAGCGCAGTAACTCTTCCAAGATACAAGGGGTTACCGAATGTGAAAAAATAAGAAAAAGAGAAACATTTCTAAAGAACGATTACAATAGATGAAGAATAAGTACACTAACTAACGATTTGAACTGCTGTTTCAATTTTTGCTGGAAAAATGCACGCATTAAAACGTCGATTACCAGCAGTAGAATTTTTCAAAATTGTCGGCCTGTGTAAATAAAAACTGATCAATGCCTAGCGTGTATTTTCAAAAGACTTGCCCTTCTGCAAACAAGGATGCACACAATTCTCTGTGCTCCAACATCACCAGACATGGCATACATACGAGACTCGCTCAGTAAGTGTTCAAATAAGTTCAACTGATTGATTCATTTTATAGTGAATATTTTTTTTCATTAGAATATTTCTGTTTAGTGAGTAAAGGATTACCATGAACATTTCCCATACTAAATGCTCCTGATAGAATATAAAAGAATTCTATCTTATTTCATTTATTGGTTTCTTTCACTATTTCTTTTACGAAATCAACACAAGAATTTTTCTTCATCAACCCACCAAAGCTCTCTTAACGCCAAAGGATAATGAAGAAAAACAGTTATAAAATATCTACAATCCCATTCACACTCTCTTATCGTCTTAAATATATATATATATATATATATATATATATATATATATATATATATATATATATATATAACTCCTAATGCTTGCTGTCGTCATGTATGAGTCATTTGATTACATTTCTTGCTGGTCTGTCTCTTGATCTTTTCTGATAATTTGGATTCCATATCATTATAGAAAAATAAAATGAATATTCCAAACGCAGATGGAATACTTCAAAGGGCTCTTTGAGGGAGAAACCTACAACACCTGAAAATAAGAAAGGACCAGAAATATCAAAATCTAAAGTAATGGCCTGGAACAAAACAGCAGGGTCAGATAGGTTTGTAAAAGAATTGATCTCGACAAGATGACAAGTAATAAACGAAACATACAACAGTTAAGAAATACTGAAGGATCATACTAAATCAGTCTTCGTATCATAGCTAAGCGACCAGGTGCAAACAAATGCGAATAGTGCCATCAGTTTAATGAGCAACAAAAGACACTAATGCTACTTATCCTAATAGTACTGAGCACACATTAGACTTGCAACTAGGTTTCATCATTTTAAAGTTGAAATGACGGAACGTAACCGTAAGTTCTATGCTCACAGTTTCTTCTCTTTGTGGCACCATGCATAAGTTGGCAGGCTGAAAAGAAATATTCATTAATATATGATTTGTTTTTTACGGTTTGTCAACCATTTGATAATTATTTAGAGCTGAAAAATATTTGGGTTTTGAGAATAATTCTTTAATTGCGTTCAGGCGATCTGGGAGAAAGAAAGAAAAGAAGAGGAAGAGGAAAGAAAGGAGAAAAATAAATAATACGAAACCAGGTCGTAAGCGAAAACACACACGCTCGACTGGCACATATCAGATGTCAAAAATATCAGGTCAAGCACCTGACCTACTTCCGTGTCCGCGGAGGGTGGAAGTTTGTTATCAATTTGGTTGAAGAAATAAAGTTTAGAGACAATGGAAAAAATATGATAGGTAACAGGTGGGAAGTTTATCTAAGGATATACAGGCAATCCATTAATACGAGAACCCAGACGATTCCAGAATTGAGGGTAGGGCCACACAAGATGATGATCAGAAAATGCTTTTTTTTTTTAGATAATTAAGATTTTTGTTGTCAAGCTCCGAGCGAAGGGAAAAAGTGAAATATTTTTATTAGTTCACGTTAACGCCACCCAGTCTAAGAAATCCCTTTCTTAGATCGTATCCAATTAGCAATAGGATGTTTGACAAATACCGCGTGTAAAAGAAACCGGGATCGTCATTTTCGTACGAAAAGGACAATTTAAATTTTTGTTTCTTTAAGCAAGGTGTTCCTTCCCCAAGAACAAAGCCACGGATTGTCCACGCCCGATTAAAGACGTCACGAAGGAAGGAGGAAAGATACCGAACAGAGTCTCATTGGCCGAGAGCGGTCACATGATGTGCGAGGGAGGAGGAAAGATGCCCGACCAGGACCCCATTGGTCGAGAGCGGTCACCTGACATACGAAGGACCAGGGGAAGCAGGTATACGCCCCCCCGAGGCACAGTAAGGAAGTAGGAGTGAAAGTAAGTTACCGAAAATGGAAAATCCCTAATCAGAAATAATACGTCTTTAGAATTATCAAGAAAACCCTGGCGCCGACAGACCCACCCCAGTTTTTGACTGCGTCAATAAAAGCAGGACCCCAACCGACAGAGTTGCAGTTGCGCCGCGGACGGGCCCGGTTCATTCGCCCCCTTGCGGGCAAGAGAATCCGAAGTGAAGCAGTCCGTTTGGCCTAAGAAGAGAAATTCGTCCAACCCAAGTTGAAGTGAATAAGCTCGTCCAACCGAAGCCGAAGAGAAGAAGTTAATTCGCGCACTGACAGCGGAGATGAGTGAACAATAATTTAGACTCTGAAGAGAGAGTTAGTTGCAGCCACGGACGGCGAGAGAGATCAGCCGTGAACGACAGGTAGAGATCAGCGCCCAGTGTCGAAACCAAACCACACCCCGAAATGCAAATTTCTAGAGAGCAGGCAACTCGAAGCCTTAAAGTTGTATGGTAGAAGCTTGGTGCCACAGTCCACAGAACGGGTCGGGAGGTAGGAATAATCTTGTGTAACGAACAATTAGATATAAAAAGTTGTTACCTTTTTCTTCAATATTTTTTGACCTTGTGAGTTTTATTTATCTTGTGTGTTATCACCCCCGTTGGACTCAGCTTGCATACGGCCCAATCCCTGTTTGATCCCGTCTGTCTAAGATCTAATCACAACGTGGGTAGACAGACCGGAGATCAGTGTAGTTACCCTGGTAACCAGGCGTTGGAAGCGGGTTGGGAACAACGAGGCTGGTATTCATCTAACCAAAGGGTTAGAACGTCACACTTGGAGCAGCGAGGAGCGAACAGCTGGCGTCGCGAACGGGATCGAACGACACAGTCGACGCTGCGACCAGTGGGGACGACGTCACACTTGCATTCTCACCTTTGGAACTTTCGCCCGACACATTGCTTTAAATCAACTTTGACATTCCTACGTTACCCAAGTACAATAAAGTCAACTATCACAATTTCACTGATAAATAAAAAATAAGACCCTTATATATTCTTATTGCATATTATCCAACACTCATTTCAAGTCTCATCATTTTGCAGTTGAAATGGCAAGATGGAACCCCAAGTTCGATGCTAACAGTTTCTTCTCTCTTCTAAAATGTCCCCAGAAATCTCGGCAGACCCTTGCTTTCTCGTAAACCTTGAACTTCAGAAGCTACCAAACCATCATTTTGCAGTTGAAATGGCAAGATGGAACCCCAAGTTCGATGCTAACAGTTTCTTCTCTCTTCTAAAAGGTCTCCAGAAATCTCGGCAGACCCTTGCTTTCTCGTAAACTTTGAACTTCAGAAGCTACCAAACCATCATTTTGCAGTTGAAATGGCAAGATGGAACCCCAAGTTCGATGCTAACAGTTTCTTCTCTCTTCTAAAAGGTCTCCAGAAATCTCGGCAGACCCTTGCTTTCTCGTAAACTTTGAACTTCAGAAGCTACCAAACCATCATTTTGCAGTTGAAATGGCAAGATGGAACCCCAAGTTCGATGCTAACAGTTTCTTCTCTCTTCTAAAATGTCTCCATAAATCTCGGCAGACCCTTGCTTTCTCGTAAACCCTTAACTTCAGAAGCTACCAAACCATCATTTTGCAGTTGAAATGGCAAGATGGAACCCCAAGTTCGATGCTAACAGTTTCTTCTCTCTTCTAAAATGTCTCCAGAAATCTCGGCAGACCCTTGATTTCTCGTAAACTTTGAACTTCAGAAGTTACCAAACTAGATTAACTTCAACCGTCTCAATTTCTCTGATTAAATCAAAAATGAAAATGAAGAACATATATATTTTTATTGCATATGAACCAAAAATCTTTTCAATGAATTAACAATAAAAACCGCAAAAGCTAATATTATTCAATAAATTCTTTAACATCTAAGAAGTCACCGTTTCAGCAAAGAAAAATCTGTTTTTAACTATGTTAATTTTTCGTTCCGATTTCGTAGACATTTAGACATTGATATATTTAGCTGATTTAATTTTCGTGTCTAAGATCTATTTAGCGTTCAATTTTGAGAATTTCGAATGTAATATCTACTTTTGGCCCGAGGTCGTTAATAAATATCTCGGAGAAGTTTGCAACTTCTGCTCTATTGTTTCTCTGATCAGCTTCTCCTTGCATTTCACTTTTCTTCGCTGTTCCCCTGAATTCGATCTCAGATTAAATTATATCGTGAATATACTGAAGGCGACAGCAAAATCTTATATTAAGTCGACATTGATTGAATCCATAAATTGACCTTCGCTCATTTGAATATTCTAATAAATAATATTTATTACCTTTAATAGGTTTGCTGAAAGATAGGTTTGTAGTTTCCTGCAGATGTAATAGGAGAACGGAATTATGAATTACGGTATCCATAACAAGGTCTCGGCATTTCAAAGATTTGATACCTAATCTTTTACAGAATGCAGAGATTAATTTTAAGAATCGGCTCCTTCCTGAGACACATAGGCATGGCTGTATATCATGAATATTTGCATCCATTTCTGGTTATTGACAATCCGTTTTCCTCGTATGAAATTTCATAACAGACAGTTGAAACTTGCTCGGGAATTTTGTACCCATAAAATCGTGATATTGGTATCGTCTACTGACATTTAAAAAACAAAGTGCCGTCGGAAATTTTGCAAACAAATTTATAAATGTAGTAAAAAAAAAAAATTTTCGGACCGACCAAAGAAGGAGAAAATGAAGATTACAACGACATGGCAGATGGATAGTTATTGTTGTGGTAGGATCCACCTAATTTGCATAGTGGAGTACCGACCATTTAAAATATGGTTGGTACCGGGAAGAGAGGGGGGAATCAAGAGATTCAACCAGAGACTCTGCCCGACTGCGACTCAGTCAACACATTCTCCAGAAACGGTCTTAGCAGGAATATACAAAAGACTATATGTAAATATTGTGTACACTTTCTTGTTTCAATACATTTTGTTCTAAGTACATTTTGTGTTGCATTATTATTCCATGCATTATTCAAGTTTCAACAGTTATTGATCGTAGACTTGAATAGATTAAGATTGTAGTTTTCGGAGAACCATCCAAGTAGGAGACTGATCCACAAATAATTGTTTAGTTGAAGTATCAATCGGAAGAATACAACCTTCTCAATAAAAGAATGCATGGATAATGAGCCTGATTGAAAACCGTGGAAATAGCAATTTGGGGCTTAGCTCTAATTTTTCGGAGCTCGTGGCTGTGAGTAATGGAAACAGAACTCACTTTTTCTATGAAAGTAACGACAGAATAACGGTAAGTTTCGAAATGGCGTCTTTGAGGAAGTGGTTCTAGGACTGAAAATAATAGATCAACCCCAAGGCTGCGTAAACGTTTTCAACTTAAAGCGAAACAGATAAGGTTTCAATAGCTCTAGTCTAGTCTTTGGTCAGTTGGCCGAGTTTTTTTTGGTCGGGTATTATTTACGCTGAAAGAAAATTCTGTCTACAGGTAAAGTAGACATAAAGCATGACAGAAGGCTTCATACTTTAATTTAAGGTGTGCTGCAAAGAGCCGAACATAATCTTTATCGAAGTATCACATATATGAATTCGAGTAGAGGTCAGAGGCTAACTTATGTCTCAATAGATGTTCACAGCCAACTTTTCATCATGACCGAAGTATATTCAGGGTCAGCACGGAGATGTTGAAACTTTACTTGCGTTGAAATTTTAATAACATTTTTAATGTTCAGATGTTGTAACGTTTACATATACCGGACATAACAGCAGAATTGTCCAAATCGTGCAACAACATGGGATATATGTCCTTCCCGCAAAATGTCAAATATAAAAATCACTAAACTAATTATGTTTCTTTTTTCCATGTTTTCAGATGAGACTTTTAGCCATTTTGGCAAAATTTGTCGTAAGTATCACTGAAAAAAAAACCTTTAAGTTATTCAGCCAGAAAAATGAACAGGTTAAACTCGTTCTGTGTCAGACCAACTTTCCTATCAAACGAGCAATAGTGAGAGGAAAAAATCATTCGGGGTTTCAGTATCGGTACCAGCATCCATACTGTAGCTTCTATCTTGAATGTCCATTTAGAATCATCAAGGGAACGGTGAATGTTTAAAAAAGTTGCCTCAGTAGAGAGGTAAACTAGATCAGGTGGTCACAACAGGAAGAAGGATCATCATTTCAAGTTCGAGCTAAAGAGATCAATTAGAAAAGATCCAACTCAAATCGTAAGACGTTTGGCACGTAAGAGAGGAGTTTCAGCTATGACAGTCCAAAGTGCAGTTAAACAAAAATGAAAATGTACATGAAACCTATGAGGCAAGTTATTACTCAAGGACAGATTATCAGAAGGTTAGCGAGGGCGAAGTTCATCTTGAATAAGTTGGAAAATGATTATGAAATAATAAATATATATTTTAATATAATTTCAATCCTTCATGAGCTTCCAATACTTAACTAGGATTAATTAATGATGAACCTTTTCGTTTATGATCGATTTCATCACGATTCTTCTGTTAAGATTGAAAAGTAACTTTTTTTTTAAGCATTCAACCCCAAGCAAGGCGGGAATCCACTAGTACGCAAGGGGTTACAGAGAGTTGGAGCGAGAACAAAGAGGAAAGATAGCGGAAAGGATGAAGAGAATGTTAGGGGATAGATCATGACATTTGGAGACGTCGATTGAAATTACATTTGAATAGTTGGAAATTATAGCTATCAGGAAAACAAGTAAAGGGGGGGTCCACAGGCGAGAAGTGCGAGACATGAAGCTATTCGAGTAGAAGAGACGGATCCATTTAACAGTTTCGACAGTGAACGGGTGAGAGAGAGATGCCAGCCTAGTTGAGCGCTTAAATTCATGAAGTCTGGGAACCATCGAAAGAAGCTCATCGGAGCAGTTAACGTGAAAGTATTTGTAAAATATAAGAGGGAGGCAACGGCGAGTCTGTGAGAGAGCGGCTGCAGACGAGATGCCAGATCAGGGCCAATTACATTGCATATCCGTCTTTGGATTTTATAAAGGACCTTGAGACAAATAGAAGTGGCTCCACACCATATATGGCAGCAATACTCCATGCAAAGGCGAATGGTTGAATTGTAGATTTGAAGGATTGACTCCTGCGAGAAAAATTTCCTGGCGTGGCACAGGGAGCCAACTTTCCTAATGGTGGACGAAGCTATTGACTCAATGTTTTCGTTCCATCTCAGGTCAGCGGACAATGTGAGACCGAGCAGTCGCAAAGAGGTGTTTACGTGGAGTTGAGCGTCAGACATTCTAATGGGAGGCAGTGATAGTTCTCTCTTGTGAGTAATAGAGAGCAGTTTTGTTTTTAAGATATTAAAGTTAACCAACCAATTCCTGCCAATATTTAACAGTCCCTCATGAGGAATTTATGTGGCACAAGGCCGAGTTTAAAGTGGGTTTCTCCGAGCCCTTAGACTCGGCCAAATATATTCCCTTAGAACCCGCACAAGCGGGTTCGGGATCTGTCTACCTCCCCGGACGAAATTTTGCCCTTCGGCAAAGATTCGTCCAGTTTCATCTCTGCCAAAGCAGAGAATTCGACAGAAGTCGCACACAATCAGAGACTGCGGGTCGACTGCCAATTCCTGCTCATGTCCACAACCGATTGGAGGTCATTTTCTAGACAAACGGCCAGGTTAGTTTTGTCGGCGACACAAGATTTGTTTTTGAGGCAGGAGTAAATAGTAGTTTCTTCCGCATAGATGCCTACAACCTATGACATCAGGAAGATCGTCAAGGAAAATAAGGAATATAGTAGGGCCTAGGATAGAACCTTGGGCCACACCTGCGTTCGTGGGATAGGAACTGGAGGAGAGTCTGTTGAGAACGACTTTCAATGCACGGTATGACAGGAATGATTGTATTAAATCGAACAATCGACATGTAATTCCATAACTCTGAAGCTTGCGAAG